ATTCGAATTGAGCCATCGATTGTATAACTTATTTATATACATAACGCGTTTATTAAGAGTTTACTACGATGTGCCAAGGATATATCCGTTCTTCGCGAGAATAATCGAACGTAAGGACCTGGAACGAAGGATAAAGCGTGTTCCAAACGAAGAACGATCCTTTAATTTATTGAATTTTCCTAGTGATGGAAATCTTTGCTCTTCGACAGGTCCAGACGAAATGTTGTAAAGATTTAACGACACCGTTCAAATGGCAAGCAATAACGACTATTATTATAACTATATTACACGTATAGAATTCCTAATGACGGTTGTCGTTAAATAACAATAAAAATGTGCAGACATTACCTTAACGACGAGAACAGACGGACGATGTTTGTTGTAGAGTGTAGATATCACTGTTTAGTGCTCGAATAAAATCTATTTAAGAAAGTTACGGATCGAGCCGATGCTCTGAGAGAAAATCGTAAACGATAATAAAAATAAAAGGTTTCTACTATCTCACTGTGTTGCTGGTTTCATGAAGATAAGTAATAAACGAGGTAGATAATCAATTATTATTGATGTTCTTTCAGGGCATCTGTACTACACAACTTTAATTAAAAATGCATCGAATCGAGTCAATATAACGATAAAGTTTTTCTTTTTTTAACAAGATAACTTGGTTTTATTATCGGAAGGTGTATCCGATTAGTTGGTGAATATTAAACTTGTGGTCTATTTTTAAACGAGACGCAAGTGGATCGTTGAATCGACACGATTTTTCATATAGCATTACGCACAGATATTACAAAACGCGTGACTCATTTAATGAAAATTTGTCAACATTCGCAACGTCGACCATGTAAACCGTCTATATCCGCCATAATTCATACAACAAGCGAAAGGAACGGTCGATCGATCTTAGTGAGATTAATAACAATCTGTACGAAATGGTGAATCATAATTTCAATCCTAAAACGACGAGTTGTTTGTTCTTAATCTCTAGAGACCAATTACACATTACGAAAAAGTAGATAATTGTTATCTGAATCATTGCCCATAGGGCCGAGCGGTGGCGCCATCGCTACAACCGCGCGACAAAGTATCAATTTGATTCTATTCGAGCATTTCATTGAAATCAGACGTAATATCGTTGTGAAACATGAATTTTAATTTATGGAGTTATGTAGAAACAAAATCGTGTGTCGTAATAAGCACCAATTACAATGAAGCAAATTCACATTTGATTTATAAGACGAATTTCGTTCAAGTTTGAAAGGTTCGACAAGTGGCGCCATCATGGCTGCCACTTAGCGGAACATTCACTCGATCGTCTTCCGTCCTTCTGGGAGGACCTTACACCGTATGTGCCTGATTCGACGAGGTTTATTGTGTGCGTGCCTCGTCGGTGGCTTCAAGATGGCTTGCAGGCTGCTGCTGCGCGCCATGGTGTGATCATTTGATTCACGGTGCTTGTGCCTCTGTAAACGTTTCGTGAAAAAGTTCATCAGTGGTCAGGACGACGACGTGACTCGACCGGCTGGTAACTCGGGGCAACTTGAAAATGTGACGATCGACTGAAAACCGGTAAGTCGTCACGTACACGATCCTATTTTTCCACTTTGTGATAGTTAGAATAATCGCCGGTTTCGTTTTCACTGGAAATACAGTGACGTAGTCACCTCGAAAAGTGAGATTTGTGCGGTTAGGAATACGAACAGGAAAGAGACACAGGGGATAGGCTGACAGACAGATACGCCAGACGACAACAAAACTTTCTTTTCCTCGTAGTCCGTAAGAATACGTGGTAATAGGATAAAACGATCATTTGGAATCACGATTGTTTTCAAGATGATTCTCGTTGATAGGTTATGATGTCATAATCGTCGACAGTTCGTGCAATCTCTTTGTCTTCGTCGCTCGATCGCGATCACGTACCTTCACGTTCGTTAACCTTGTCTTTTTCGTGTTCATCGTTACAATAAAACGAATTACAGTGTGGTCAACGTTATTTTCGAAAAAAAGAAAGACAGTCTTCGTTGTAATTGTGTAGTGAGAAAACGGTGTATCGTAATTTGCGATACTTCGTTGCACTTTTCAACGTACGATACGTACCTTCGTAGCGTAATATTTTCCGTCGTGAGTGGGAGAACTAACCTTACCTCTCGATTGGGCGAAAGACGCACGACGGGGTCGCTATTGGTAGTCCTTTCTACATACCTGGCACGCAAAAGTTACCTGCCTTTCTCATCAAGTTGAGCTTGGAAACTTTTGTCCAGAATTTTTTTTTTCGTATTTTACTCTCTAGGGATCTATTTCATTGTCGTTTAAATGTTTCTTGCGAAGGGCATGCATTTTTGTATAAGGATAAAAAATATCAATGTGTAAACTACGTGCCGGAAGAAAAATTCGTGATGCACTTATTGGGACAAGATTAAACGGTACTTAAAATCGTATCAGTGTGAATCTACGTTACATTTCGTTTCGCATCGAACGGAAATATCGCCGACACGTAACAGGAACACAGAAATATCTGTTTTCACGAACAACACTGCGTCTCGCAGTTACTTGTGAACCATTGGCCAGTCTGTGCTTATTTGCTGTTGACGTCAATTAAGATTGAAATACCTTGAAACAGTTTGATTCATTGCCTCGTGATGCAGTTCGACGAAGAATTAACTACACAGGTGTTATCGGCACGCGTTCTCGAATTAACGGCACCGAAATGGTATCGCGCCACACGCTAAGGTAAATAACAACAAACTTTTTAAGCGTCCGTTAAGTACACCAGCCTGACATCGTGACACACTATTTTCCGTGACGATTTCCGGTCTGCTGCGTTTGCACGTTATTTACCATATTTATAATCATATAACTGTACTCGTTTCTTAATGGATCGCATTTTTTTGCTACAGTTATTTTCATAACCTCAATCAATGATATAGGAAGAATTTATTAGAAACATTTTATAGAACAACGGTAAACTTGACCCCATTTACAAATGTTAAGAATCCTATTTGGTGGAACGATTATCGTTCCCAATAGATTGCTCCATATTCAATGGTCGTTCTTTACAATTATACATAAAGAAAACGTTTGGAATCCACTTAAAATAACGACGAAGGTTGAAGCGTATGTAGTAATTTCGAAACTTGTTTCGTGGAGAAGAATTCAGGTTCGATAGCCGAATGCGGAAAAGAATTTCCATTCCAAAGTTATCAGTTTGCGTTGACCTGATGTACAAAAGAAGTTACTGGTGACGCATTTCCGGTAAACTTATCTCAGGTGTATGGGTCGTACGTTGGCAATTGGCACGCGTGACGTATGAAATTAACGATAAAAGCCACCTTACGTACGGCCCGTTATGTACGTGAATTTTCAACGGATAAGCATCGCGGGGCGCGTTTTAAACGTACGAGCAACAAGTACGTGGCGTGTATTAATTTTTACGAGTGCGCGTATCTGCCATTGTCGAGGTACGCGCGCATCACAGCGAGAATTTCACAAACATGCCGTGTTATCTGGGAATTGTTCCATATAATAAAATTCGTTCGGTATAATGGAGCATGAAAATTATGTTAAAAACCGGGCATAAAATATTTAGGAGATCGTATTTCTGGCCAATTTTGGGATGAAATAAATGCGCATTGCGCTTTCTTATTTGGCAATATATTTACGTAGTTTCAAATTAAGCGTGAAATTATTCCAGTGATTGGAATATTTTTCGACGTCTTTATTATGCGATAATAATGAAATAGAGTACATGGCGGCAATAATGAGTGAACAGCGGTTATCGTTTCAAACCTAACCTCAAATTCAATTTCAGTGATCTGATTTTTCGTCGAACTATATTTCAGATCGTTCTTCCATGTTTTTATATGAATTCAATATTGAACGATGAAGTCATGTGAGTGGAGGGTCTTTCTAATAATTGACTGTATATTAGTAACTGATAATTCTCGATTTGCATAATAGGAAGTGAATAAATGATAGGATACCGATTATAGTCATAATCACTCCCGTTCTTGGAAGCATTTCTTATCTATTGTAGGATTTCTAATGTAACTTAGTCGCTTTAAAATTTAATTTTAACAATTTCAAGTATAGTTTGAACTTAAAAATTCTTTTAGACAATCATGTCTAAAATTTTCAAATATCACTAGAAAAAAAATTCATTTTTCCCCGTTGTTCTTTACTTGAATTAAAATTTGAATTGTCTAAAAATGCATTCAACTGCATCTGTAGTTTTTTGGTACACGATTCTCCGCGCTATAGCGTTTCTTTTACGACGAATACGATGAATCAAAATTGTCGTTGGGTCAAGGATTGGCGTCCGATTGAATTATCTTCGCTGGCTTTACTTTATTTTCGCTCTAAGGACGATTATTGAAACGAGCGATTCGGGGAGTAATAGCGAAACGTGTCTCGACTCTTCGCTTATTTTATGGTAACATTGTTGCCTTATCAACCACGAAGCCAAAAGTGATGTCTGCCGAGTGACGAGTCGTTTCGTTATCGATATCGCTGCTACTCTCTGTTTGCGCGCAAGATTCTCCAGACTTCATTTTTACGGTTTGCTGGAAAATACAACACACTCGACGTAAGTAACTTTTTCTAAAGAAAACTTGAAATCGAATTCACTTCTGAACGAGAAATTACAGCTTAAGCGTATTATTAATATCTTAAAAATTTTTCACACAATTTCATACATTGATCAACTTTTGTTTACTCGTAAATTGACCTCTGTATATTTCAGTGAAGATATAACAGTAATTAATCTGTTGCAATTTTGCATCTTCACCAATTCACAAACGTCATTCTTATTTTTTTCATTGTAACGTGTTCGTTTGATTAATTCCTGACCTCAGATATTGATAAATTTCTTAAGTTAAGTTTCCTCAGTTAATGTACAATATTTGAACTAAAATTTATTTTACAAATGGCTATTTAACGTAGCAATTTCCCTTTCACCAAAAAAGAACAATGTTGCAAAAAACTAATTGCTATTCCATCGAGCTCCTTTTAATAGCATGGAAATTTTTCAGGTTTGATAAAAGTTCTCTGTAATGTTATACGAAGTTGCTAAATTGAATACTCGTACAGGTTGAATGCAAATTTTCTCGAGTTACATCGAAATCTGATCTGGTAATTGTTCGTTAAAAATTCGTCGCGATCGAATGAATAAAATTGGTGAAACACACGAGAGTGGTTCAAGTCGAAAACATCAGAAACCGTATTAGAAAGTTCTCCAGGAACGTCGTAGTGTAACCATATTCGTTGGCAAGCAACGAAAGAATGTGTGCGTACGATATCTCAGTGTGATAACGAGATATCTGCTTTCCACCACTGCATATCGCGCATCCTTCTTCTACTCTGTCTTCTCGTTATCCTATTTCGTAACGGGATTTGCGCAAATTCCACATTTATTGGCCTATTTGCCGCCATGCGCACTCATTCAATATTCATACGTTGCAAAATTACGGTGAAAATGAAAATATTCTCGCGTAACAAAATTTCATAGAGTAAATAACCATATTTTTACAGGTTATTACGATGTGTAATAAATTCAGGGACACCCGGTATGTGCATAGTTTAATTCCGACGGTAAGGTTGTTTAAAAATTGAATTCCTACCTTATGTTTACCAGTGAAACACTGCTGACGTATATTCTGGTGGGGGAAAAAAGAACGTTTGTAAAAACGTAAGGAAAAACTGAAATTCGTCGCTTTTGTAACGCCGTTCTGTGTTGTTTTCCCTCTCTCTGTCGCCATTTCTCCTTCTCCATCCCTCGATAGTTATTATTTTTCATTAACGAACAGCCAGAGGGACGCGGGGTTGCCTGGCGAGAGAACGTCGAGTGAAAAATGGTGAAACGAGAGAGCAGATGAGAGATGAGAAGAACGTGGGAGAAGGGGAAAAGAGGAACGGGAGCAGGAGTGAGAGAGAGAGAGATGAAAACAAAGCGAAGCAGCCGCCAGGGTAACAATGGCGCATCGACCCGCCAAAACTTGCACTGATGCGCAGAAACCCGTGCGCCGCAACTACTTTAATCAAGCTAAAGTTGCTAACTGCTCTCGTGTTTCTCATTTCACGTTTATTCTGTAGATTCGATCGATGTACCGATGGAAAAGATAAATCGTGATAAATCGTGTTGGTGAGCGTACTCGTTGGCACAAATGCGATTCGAAAAAAAAAGAAAAAAGAAAGACAAGGTGGACGTCTATTCGTCCGATGCGCAAAAGCATGCGCAGTGGAACTTCTAGGAACGACCGACTGTTGACCAACGTAGTAGCTGTTCTGTGGCTATGTTCCTTTCAAACTTATCGAAATTCTTTTGCTTTGCCTTTTTAATTGATTATTCATCATGGAGTTGGTAGATTAATTTGATTGTTTATTAGAGGATTAGGTGGGGATTGATTGTGTGTATTAGTTGTTTTAACAAGGACAGATTTGGTTTACGTTTAAAGTATTACGTTGCCAATAGTTGTTGCTGGGAATAGGAGAAAGTTGTTTCACTATTGATACTTTCGGACCAACCGTTTCGATGCTACAACACACTGGATCGTTCTACAAAACCATATACGCCA